TCCTTGGGCAGTAAGTACCTTAAGGTAACTGTTGTTATGATTTGGTGCTATAGAAATAAAACTGAATTAGACTGAATTGCATTGTCATCCTGACTACACAAGCAAACTTATTTTCCGTGACTGTAAAGTTTGGATGCTTGTATGCAAGTTTATATTTGATTTCTTTCTTTTTGCATCCCTTATCTGTCAGCCCAAAACTGTTCAGGTCTGAGGACGTGCGCCGAGTGTCTGGAGAGGGTGGAGTGTGGTTGGTGCGGGGATCCCAGTAACACCGGTAGGGGCGTTTGCATGGAGGGCTCCTACAGAGGCCCTCTGAAGCCTGTGACGGCAAAGGCAGGACCCAGAGACCGGGATAGACTGCGAGACAGGGACATGGTGGTGGATCAGGGTCTCTGTTCATCAGACAGAGGCTACAACTGGGCTTTTATCCAGTGCCCCGGTGAGTGAACCACGAGACCAGACTGGACCAGATGACACTGAGGTTAAGCTTTGTGAACTCACCTTTCATACCCTGTAATTGAGTATCCCACTTAATTTGAATAGTGTAGCCTCTTCTGGCTGCGGTGTTTTATCTGCAGCTAGAACTGAAGTAGGAAATGTGCGTTTGCAATAGTTACCCACTTCATCTATAAGTATGCGATCGCCAAGTGATTCTGATAGTGAGCAATGTGTATGATGGAAGCAGACAAAATATTAGAAACACCTTTCAATGCGACGTTTAGCACAAATAAAATGATAACCTTTGCAGGTATTTATTGCATTAAAACCACTTATGGTGAAGTGAAGATGATGTGTACTACTGCACAGGCTTTCTCATGTTCCTATGAATGTTCTCTTCCAGCATGCCAATGTAACGGTCACAGCAGGTGTGTGAATGGCAGCGTATGCGAACACTGTGGAAACCTGACGGCAGGGACGCACTGCCAGAGCTGCATGCCTGGTTACTATGGCGACCCCACCAATGGAGGGAAGTGTAATGGTAAGTGCAAAGGTGACGGAGGTTAATAACTTTATTTTTGATGAGCATCAGCAAACCTCGTGAGTGCTCTGCAGAAACATCCTGTTCTGTGTGTGTCTGTGAAATAAGTTCATTTAAACGCAGCAGAAACATTTTGGCAGACGTTCCCTATTTTAACAGCTTTCAGACGTGTGAAAATATTACTTGTAACCAGCAGTTTACAGCATTGTAATGGCCACAAACAACCTGGTGGGGGCAGTGTTTAGAAGGCATGATTCCCAGCTTTGGTTCCTTTAGAGCTTGTGGTCACTAGCAGGACACCGGATGAAACCTGAAATGTATGTAGTGCGAAGAGGATTGCAGTGTGTGCGTTTCCTTTATTATTTTTTCTTTCTTTCAAACCTTCAGAGTTAATGAAGATGAACACACAGATCTGTATGTTTTGATTAGAAGCAGCCTCTCAGCAGTTCCTCCTCACTTTTTTTTTTAATGCTTCATATGGAAATAATCGTAGTGCATAATCCAGCAGTCGAAACAGGAGAGCGTGTGCGTGTGGGAAGCGTGTGTTAGTGGAGCAAAGCGTGATTTGAAGGCTTCTGGAGTCTGGTTTGGGAAGGTATGGGTCTTGATAGGAAAACAAAAAACCCCGTCAGCGACAGGAGAGTGTATTGAATGAGTGAGTGACTGCTAGAGTGTGAGTGAGGGAGGGAGAAGTGAGAAGGAGGTGCAGGAGCATCAGTCTCGCAGTGACAGATGTGCGTTTTGGCTTGGCGGCGGCATGACATTAAATCGCTCTTAATCATTTTCTTATTTCCTGAGTTGACTGGTGTCTCTGTCCCTGGTGGCTTTTTGCAAGGAGCACGGCGCTGATAGATGCACGCCTCTCTACGCCCCCATACAGTACAGCCTTTAATACAGTTTCTCTCCTTTTTTTGGCTTTATTTTCCTCTGTATCCTGTTTTTTTTCCTCGTGGTCTCCTTAACATCCCCTGGTCACATTTTCCCAGCTGTGTTTCTCTCCATGCTCCACACATTTTCTCTTCTTGACACCTCTTTAATATTTCCTCCATATGTTTTATGTCATATTCAACTTTCTTTTTTTTCCCATTCTTCTTCTCTCCTCACTTTATTCCTCATGTTCTTCCCTATTTAATTTAATTGTCTAATCTTTTTCCTAAACTGTTAACTATCTACTTTTTTCCCCTCTTTGTCACATTATCAGGATTTGAGTGATCGCTGTGCTGTTAGGAGTAATTTTGTTCTGTGAGGGTTTCTATGGTCAAACTGGTCACTGTTGAGAGTCCAGACATGCATATAACTTTAAAAACACAAGAACAAATCACCTTGCCTCAGAGAGGGTTACCTGGTCACCACCTGGGCCAGGCCTGGTGTGTTCCTACTGGCACAGCCCAAAAGAGCGACATGGGGCTTACCTTCCTCTAAGCCAGGGGTCTCGAACTCCAGACCTCGAGCGCCGGTGTCCTGCAGGTTTTAGATGTGTCCTTGATCCAACACAGCTGATTTAAATGGCTAAATTACCTCCTCAACATGTCTTGAAGTTCTCCAGAGGCCTGGTAATGAACTAAGCATTTGAATCAGGTGTGTTGACCCAGGGTGAGATCTAAAATCTGCAGGACACCGGCCCTCGAGGCCTGGAGTTTGACACCCCTGCCAACCACAGTGTTGTGTTTATGTTTTACATTTTATTTTCTTAACATTTTATTTTCTTCTTTGGCATATATGTGCTGGTTAAACTGGATTTTTTTAACAAACTAATATCATCTATAATGTCTTTTTTCTTCTTTGACTACAGTGACTGCACTGATAATATAAGGGAACTCCTCCTTCAGCCTTAAATCCATCTACCCGTACCTCTTTTCACATCACCTTATTTTTTTCTCTTTTACACTTCAGCTGTTTGCTCTCTTAGACCCTACAGCAACTCTTTTGTCATCGCCATCTTTTTGTGTCACCTGTCCATCATTTCTATCAATATCCATTTTCTCCATCTTTCTTTATAAAAGGG